TCATTGTGTCTCCTCCTGAGCAGTGCCTGGCAGCTGGGGCTTCTCATTTATATGTCGTTTCCACCACGACAGCTTCAGCTTGACGTAATGGGGATGTACAGCGCCATGACCAATCTGGTTTAGAAAGGGGATGCCTGAATGTTGTGTCATAGAAAGAGTATAGAATCTGAAAGTAGAGCCGTAGCTGTCTTCAAAATGTTGACAAGAGATTTGCTGAGAAAACAATTGTTCTAAAAGCTGCCTGTTTCAAACGTGAGTGTCAAGACCCTGCTAAAGTGCTAGAAAACCCTGCTTTGATGCAGACACGTGCCATGGGTTTGGCTGCAGTTGCCTTGTTCTGGTCTTCTTACTCTTGGGCCACCCCTGGACCGTGATACTTGTGTCCTTAGAGGACTCTGCCTTTAGGATTTGTGCATCCAGAAGGTTTAGAGAATTGAGATCCTGAAATCAACTTTGTGAAGCCTGTGTGGAAATCCATGGCTTTGGAGCAGAATTGCTGAACCAAACTATGAAAAAATTCACCTCCTTCACCTGTGGCTTGGCTGAACTAAATTCAGATTATCACATTCCCTCGCCCTTGTGAATTCTATTTTACACTTGAGAGAAGATTCCTGCAGCACCTGCAGAAGACAGAGGTTTGACTGTGTGTGTGTGTGTTTAGAGAAAATAGAACCTACTGGCTTCTTGTGCTTCCCTCTCAGTCCATATACCCTCTTTCAGGGTCAAACCCTTCCCCCTCCTCCTAGGGCTCCCCTCCCTCATCAAGAGTCCCTCACATCTCTCCTGTAGGCCCCCTTGAGGGACTGGAAGGGGCTCTGAGGTCTCCCCAGAGCCTTCTCTTCTCCAGGCTGAACCCCCCCCAACTCTCTCAGCCTGTCCTCCCAGCAGAGGGGCTCCAGCCCTCCCAGAATCTCCATGGCCTCTTTTGGCCCCGCTCCAACAGGTCCATGTCTCTCCTGTGCTGAGGCCCCAGAGCTGGAGGCAGCACTGGGTTGGGGGGTGTCTCCCCATTGCTGAGCAGAGGGGCAGAATCCCCCCCCTGGCCCTCCTGGCCTCCTGGGGATGCAGCCCAGGATGTGGGGGTCTTCTGGGCTGCCAGGGCACATTGGTGGCTCATGTTGACCTTCTCACCCACCAACACCCCCAAGTCCTTCTCCTCAGGGCTGCTCTGAATTCATTCTCCACCCAACCTGTGTTTGTGCCTGGGATTGCCATCACCCAGGTGAAGGACCTTGCACTTGGCCTGGTTGAACTTCATGTGGTTCACACAAACCCACCTCTCCAGCCTGTCCAGGTCCCTCTGGATGCCATCCCTTCCCTTGTGCGTTGACCACACCACACAGCTTGGTGTCGTTGACTCAATCCCACTGTCCCTGTCCCCAACAAAGATGTTAAAGAGGGAACTATCCACTGGGAATGTTTTATATGTAACGATATAGTACGGTCATACCTTCTGTTGGTCGTCTTGGGGGGGAGAGTATGTCCTGCCACGCTCTTGATTTATCCACAGAAGTGTATTTGCTGTAATTTTGATGTTTTCAACATCCCTCCTCGAGCCAGATCTCCACCAAGTATAAACCAGCATAGCTGCATTATTGAGACAATTCTTCCATTGTCCTCAGTCATGCCAATATATACACACCGGTGGAGGATCTCGCTCTCTCCATTGTGCTTAAAAGGATTTGTTTTGAGCAATAAGTGAAATGTGAGAAGTCCAGGTCTTAAAAGTAGCAAGGTGTTTAAACTTGGTCTGCGAGGGAAGTTTCAGAGCTTGACCTGGGCAAGACTAAATTGTTTATCTTCTCAACTGCTGGTTTTTCCAGGATAAGATTACGTCTTCGTTTTAATTAGCGTAATTGTTTTTAAAGCGGTGTGGCCAGTAAATGGGTATTAAAATGGTCACGTTCCCTGCATGAGGTTTGGCTTTTTTTTCATAGCAGCTGAGTACATTTTGGTTCTTTTTTTCTGGTTTTCAGAGTGAATTGACAACTGGTGAAATACGCGCATCTGAGTGTTTTGGGAACTTTAGTGTCTGGTTGCCTTTATTTTTTTTACATGAAAATAACTGGGATTAGGAGGCCAAGCTTCCTTAGGTGTTTTTTTTGTGTGAGTGTGATTATTTTTTTTTCACTGGTGGTGGTGAATAGAGCAGCAATATGGGTTTTTTTTGCAAATGGCTCAGCAGAACAGCCTACGTGCCAGAGTAGCTGGATAAAGTCTTCACGCTTTGGCCAATCTGTGTTCTTTCCTCTTGTCGGTAACTGTGAATTGAAACACTGAGAGTTTGCAAAAAAGAACGGTTCTTTACTGGGAACTGACCCAAATCCCAACCACTTCTTTCAGTAACGCTCTCAGCCATCAGATGGGAACGTGACCCACGTTGGATTTGAAGGCCTGGCTAAGAAGTCCTGACTAACTTATTCTCAACCTTTTGATGCATGTAATATCACCAAATTCTCCTAAACAGATATAAAATCTAAAACGCTGACGAGCCAACAGATTCTGTGTGTATTTTTTTTTGCTTGTTTGGTTGAATAATTCTGTGTTGCATAAATAATTCCTGGGGTTACTCTTCTCTTTGCTTCTAGGTGTCCACAGCAAGCAGCAAACCGTCGGCGAAGAGCAACATCATGAACAACTTCTTTGGAAAAGCTGCCATGAGTAAGTGCTTTATAACACACATCTGTTTTCAGAAACCATTGCGGTCAGGGACCAGCCTGCTGTAGTTTAAAAAAAAAAAAAAAAAAAATCCTGGGGGATTTTGGAAATCTCTCATTTGTTTGGGTTTTTTTAGCTAAGTAGTAATTAAAAAAAAAAATAATCAGTGATATCAGGCACCTTATTACACAGCTGTGATGGGAGGCATAAAAGAAATGAGCAGAAATCTTCCTTCCCACCCCACCAAACTTGTTGGATTATTTTTTTTTATATCCCCTCTTTTCTTACAGTTTTTCATAAAAGTGGAGGGAGGTCATCCTGCCCCTCTGCTCTGCCCTGGGGAGGCCCCAGCTGGAGCACTGGGACCAGTTGTGGGCTCCCCAGTTGCAGAAGGACAGGGAACTGCTGGAGAGGGGACAGCAGAGGGCTACAAAGATGATGAGGGACTGGAGCATCTCTCTGCTGAGGAAAGGCTGAGGGACTTGGGTCTTTTTAGTCTGGAGAAGAGAAGACTGAGGGGGGATCTGATCAACACCTCTAAATCCTTCAAGGGTGGGTGTCAGGAGGATGGGGCCAGTCTTTTTCCAGTGGTGCCCAGGGACAGGACAAGAGGAAATGGGCACAAACTTGTGCATACGAAGTTCCATCTCAACATGAGGAGGAACTTCTTGACTTTGAGGGTGGCAGAGCCCTGGCAGAGGCTGCCCAGAGAGGTGGTGGAGTCTCCTTCTCTGGAGACATTCAAACCCCTCATGGACACGTTCCTGTGGGACCTGCTCTGGGTGGCCCTGCTCTGGCAGGGGGTTGGAGTGGATGGTCTCCAGAGGTCCCTTCCAACCCCAGATCATCCTGGGATTCTGTGATACTATTCTTCTGCTTTTTTTGGCCTCAGAGGGGTTAATGGTTTTGTATGTGGCTTTTAAGGCAAAAAAATTAAAAGTTGTAAGAGGAATTTTTCAGACGAAAGCCTTGCTGGATGGAGATCAATTAAAATGACATATTTGTGCAGACTAACCTGGGAAGGGTTTTTAGTGCAGAAGAAATGTGATTTAAAGTGAGTACTTCTGGCTGGAAGATTAGCTATTGGGGAAATGTTTGCCAAAACCTGTTACGCAGGGTGTGTTAACGATGCTTGCTTTTTATCAGGAATCACTGAGGAGCCTGTAGTTAGGCTTAGGGTTAATTTCTTCACTGAAAACCAAAAAGCTCATAAATAGAGGATAAAAATGGAGGGTGGCCTTTCCCTTTGAGCAGGAGGTTTGGAGTAGGTGGCCTCTGGAGGTCCCTTCTGACCTAAATGATCCGACTCTAAAAGAAAATACGCTGGAGCTTTTAAATAGACATTGGAAAAGGACTCTAGGGCTTTCTTCAAAGATGCCCTTATAATTGTGAGTACAAGAGAATTCAGAGAAGAGTCACTGGGAGAGAGTCAACAGCAAAGTTCACTTTCTAACAGCCATCTGTCAGAGGTTGCAGGGTACAGTTCCAACACTGAACACACAAGGCACAGCACTATTGGGCATCTTTGAGTTCCTGTTTTGATGAGATGGAGGGAGCTGAGGACACTTTCAACCTAAGCTCACCAAGCTTAAGCTCAGTCCCTACGGTGAAGTAAGTTCTTAAGATCTGAGAAGAGCCCCAGAGCAGCTGAAAACCCAAGAAGTGGCGTGGTGAAGACAACCCAGTGGTGGTGGAGAAAGCTTTGTGGATGCATTTCCACCAGGGTTTGCCTCTCTGCTGAGTCCTCTCAGGGAGCACTTCAAGGAAATTTGTGAGGTTGCTGCAGAGAAGGAGCAAACCGAGCAGAACTGGAAATGATTATGTGTATAGAAGAGATAGGGTGATTCCAGGAGGAAGATTTATTCCCTATATGTTGTACGTCTCTCCTGGCTTCAAAGATTTCACCCTTGCCAGCAAGTCCCGAGTTAACGATAATTGGGTCCTCCGGCTCTCTGCTGTTGATCATAAATTAGAGAGCTGTCGTTCAGGCTCTTTTGTATGAGATGGTTTTTCCTTTGCTCAATGGAGCAGCCAGCTTGTTTTCCCAGTGGTGTCAGAAAGACTTTGGCATGGAGACTTCTAGGCCTCTGGGCAACCTCTGTTCCTATTGACAGCGTAGTTTGATCTCAATTTTGAACACTTTTTCTTTGCTGGGGGATCCTGTGCTTGGGATGATGAAGGTTTCTGACTTGTCTGCTCCTCTCTTCTGGTGAGGTGCGTGTAAAGCTGCTGAATGAAGTTCACAATGTAATTAGGTGCTAGTGTGTTACCGGCACCCCATGGCAGCTTGATAAATATATTATTTTGCTCTCCTCTCCACCTGCTGTCTCTTATCTGGTGCTAAATTAACCCTTTTGAACCAGAATTGTCCTTGTTTGTGCTGCTGTGTAGGCGAAAGAGGCTGGTTCTTGATCACACTGGGGTTGGGGTGGGACAAGAACTTCTCCAGGGAACCCAGAGAAGCTGTGGATGCCCCATCCCTGGAGGGGTTCAAGGCCAGGCTGGATGGGACTTTGAGCAACCTGGTCTAGAGGGAGGTGTCCCTGCCTGGGGCAGGGAGGGTTGGAACTGGATGATATTTATGGTCCCTTCCAACTCTAACCATTCTATGATTCTATGAGAAATCACTACGCTAATTAAAATACTAATCATGGGCTCTAATGATATGCAGGATGGAGGCTGCACACAGCTCTCCTTGCTCTCCATCAGTCCCGATTCTTTTGTTTCTGGGCTCTTCCGTGCTTGATTAAAACTCTAATTTAGAAGGGATAAACTGACTATAAAGATGCAAGGACAAGCTGAGAGAGTTGGGGGGGTTCAGCCTGGAGAAGAGAAGGCTGCAGGGAGACCTTTGAACCCATTCCAGTCCCTCAAGGAGCTCCAGGAAAGATGGGGAGGGACTCTTGATTAAGGAAGGGAGCCCTAGAATGAGGGGGAACAGGGGATGTGGTGTTATCCCAAGGGGGCTGCCTGGAAGAGGGGCTCCCAACCTTTCTGGTGACTGCAAGGGCTTTTGCCACTGCCACTTCTGCAGAGTTTAATGGCTGCAGCGCACCCAGCTTGCAGTGCGCTTGGGCTGTGCCATCAGGAACAGAACCAGGCTGTTAAATCATCTAGAAATTGAAGCATTCCATTTTTTTTCTATATCATAGAATCATAGAATGGTTGGGTTGGAAGTGACTTCTTAAAGGCCAACTGGAGCCCCTTCCAGTCCCTCAAGGGGCTCCAGGGAAGCTGGGGAGGGACTTTGGATCAGGGAGGGGAGCCATAGGAGGAGGGGGAACAGGGGATGTGGTGTTATCCCAAGGGGGCTGCCTAGAAGAGGGGCTCCCAACCTTTCTGTGCCATTAGTCCTGGTGACTGAAAGGATTTCTACCACTGCCACTTCTGCAGAGTTTAATGGCTGCAGTGTGCCCAGCTTGCAGTGCTCTTGGGCTGTGGGAAGGGGCTCCAAGGTCTCCCCGGAGCCTTCTCTTCTCCAGACTGAACCCCCCCAACTCTCTCAGCCTGTCCTCACAGCAGAGGGGCTCCAGCCCTCCCAGCATCTCCATGGTGGCCTCCTCTGGCCCCATCCAACAGGTACATGTCCTTCTGATGTTGGTGGCCCCAAAGCTGGAGGCAGCACTGGGTGGGGGGGTGTCTCCCCAGAGCAGAGCAGAGGGGCAGAACCCCCCCCCAGGCCTTGCTGGCCACGCTGCTGGGGATGCAGCCCAGGATTTGGGGGGCTTTCCACAGCTTGGTCAATCTAGATCCCTAATGCTTTTACACATCATCTGTAGTGTTTTTGTGTGTTCTTGGTGCGCAGTGTTTTGTTCAACCAGCTCCTTGTAAATCCTTTTTCTTAATACCCAGTGTTTCTTTTTTAACGCTTCTGGCCTCCTCTGGCCCCATCCAACAGGTCCATGTCCTTCTGATGTTGGTGGCCCCAAAGCTGGAGGCAGCACTGGGTGGGGGGTGTCTCCCCAGAGCGGAGCAGAGGGACAGAATCCCCCCCCTGGCCCTGCTGGCCACGCTGCTGGGGCTGCAGCCCAGGATGTGGGGGACTTTCCACAGCTTGGTCAATCTAGATCCCTAATGCTTTTACACATCATCTGTAGTGTTTTTGTGTGTTCTTGGTGCGCAGTGTTTTGTTCAACCAGCTCCTTGTAAATCCTTTTTCTTAATACCCAGTGTTTCTTTTTTAACGCTTCATTCACAGATAAACTTAAAGTCAACTCTGTGCCCGAGCAGCCAAAGGAAGAGAAAGAAGTAGTCAAGCCTTCAGTTGCTGAAGCAGAACCAGAATCAGCCCCTAATACTGTAGTAGAAAAACCTGGGAAGAAAACAGAGTCTGCTAGAAGTCAACAAAAGGACAAAAAAAGGTGGGCAAACACCATTCAGGGTCCCTGTCATCTGTTAACCCCCTTGTTGATGGGTTGCGTGGAGCTGGCTGGTCATACAATGCTGGCTCCCCTCCTGTTTCCAGCTACTAAATTGCATTAAACCTGGCTAAAATTATCTCTCTTGGACTTCTTTCCTAATATTTCTTTTCCATTTAGCCCTGTAGATGCCTGGGGGCCATTTGTGCCATTGCAAATGGGAAGGGCCACGGTCCAGGTTGTCTTCAGTGGGAGGGGGTGGCTTTTCAGGAGACAAGCTCTTGCTGTGAGCAGACTTGGTATAGACCCCCCCACCCTGCCCCAGGCGATCTGGGGGGGCTGGCAGGAGCACCTGTGCTGCAGGGAAGGTACTATATTCCCCCAGCTTATATGTACACAGCTTCCAGCACACAAAGTTCTGCTTGTTGATTTCCATCTCTAATGTGCTGCCGCTTTCAATGCCCCTGGTTTACTTTGGGCTGAGGCTCCGAGTAAATTTGAAGTTCAGCCCTTTGTGTTTAATCCAACCCAAACTGACAGAGACAAAAAAAAATCATTACAGTCTGATGGCTCTCTGGTGGCCTATGAGTAATTAATTGGTGGTCTCGATCCGTTTCTAATTAAATAGGTAAGCGCGCCGCCCAGCCCACCATCGCTGTTACTGGTCTCCTTATTGATAGCCTTGTAGCTTCCAGGCCTTTGGCTTTTTGAACGTGTTGGCAGCGTGGTGTTGGGAAGGCCACTTGGGCTGTACCAGCTCTAGGAGGATACGTGGGCCTTTAGCCTCCAGGCTTGTTAGTCTGACACGTCTCGCCAACATGAAAAAGAAAGAAGCTATTTTATTTTTCCAGTAGTCTTTAAAAAATGGCTCCAGGATTCTGAGACACTACCTCATAGTCAGTCAGTGGCAAGCAGTCTGTCAAAAGAGCTTCTGAGCGATGCTGTTGGGGACATGAGTGTTTGGGAGCCCTGAGCTCTAGAGACAAGATCAGAAAGGAGCTCTTGCCAGGTTGCTGTGGCCAAGCTAGGTGAGGTTACTGGGCAAAACACCGAGCTGTGGAGGGGCTAAAGAAATCCTTCTTGTTTTGGAGACCTGGGGATGGGTAAGGATGAGAGGTTTGAAAATGCTCGTGCACCCAGGCCTGATTGTTTCGGTGAATTTACTTCAGCATAACTTAACTTGAGGGCTACAAAGATGATGAGGGGCCTGGAGCGTCTCTCTGCAGACGAAAGGCTGAGGGACTTGTGTCTGTTTAGTCTGGAGAAGAGAAGGCTGAGGGGGAATCTGATCAATACCTCTAAATCCTTCAAGGGTGGGTGTCAGGAGGATGGGGCCAGGCTTTTTTCAGTGGTGCCCAGGGACAGGACAAGAGGAAATGGGCACAAATTTGAATAGTAGAAGTTCCATCTCAACATGAGGAGGAACTTCTTTCCTGTGAGGGTGGCAGAGCCCTGGCAGAGGCTGCCCAGAGAGGTGGTGGAGTCTCCTTCTCTGGAGACATTCCAACCCCACCTGGACACGTTCCTGTGGGACCTGCTCTGGGTGGCCCTGCTCTGGCAGGGGGTGGGACTGGGTGATCTCCAGAGGTCCCTTCCAACCCCAGATCATTCTGTGATTCTGTATTGATGCTCATCTTTTTAAGAGGTAGAGAGATACAGGATTTCCTTAGCAGTACCTCTATCAGGAACGTCCTCGTCTAGGCACGCGTGATGCTTTCGTGCACACACAAGGGTTAACACATGTCCATTCCTTTTTTTCCTTTTCTTTTTGTGGCAGTAAAGCGAAGAGGGTGGACAAGTCGGATAACGAGGAAGAAAGAGATCCAGAAAATCTAAAGAAAAAGAGGAAGCGAATCAAGCAACTCGTGTCTGACAGCAGTGATGAGGAAGGTAAAAAGATATGGTAAACAACCGGGCATGTAGGTCAGGGGCCTGATTTTGACAATATTCCTTTTCAAAGGCTGTTGGTCAACGATTGAGGGAAGAGTTTAGAGGACTAAAGACCGTGCAAATGGCTTGTAGCTTGAGCTTTCTGTTTATCTCGTGCTGCAAGCTCTTGGGCGTACGGTTGAGATGCCTCAACCGTTCAGTCTTTGTGTTTTAGCTTAGCTCAGATCTGGCTGTTTCCACACCAAGTGTGTGCTGCCAGTCACGCTGACGTGAGGGAAGGAGATTCTCAACTCTCTTGTGAAAGATATCGCGCCTTCCAGAATTGTAGGACTGGTCATAACCAGTTTATTTAGTGAGTAAACACTCAACAAAAGTGACTTTCCCTTCCCCCCTCCCCTTCCCCCCCCCTCCTCCAGGGTCATTTTTAGTATCTTTAATTCTGGCTGTTTATAGAAATGGTTTGGAAGACAACGTTGGAAGCGAGACTTCCAAAAGGAAAAAAAAAAAAGAGATAATAGAGAAACTGGAGGCAAAACAGTTGAGCCGTATCCGATGCGACTCGGCGTCTCCTCGGTGGCTGTTGGCTTTGATAGGAGTAGGGTGCCCAGAACGTCGCAAGATTCGGGCTTATAATGAGGAACAGCAGGGCTGGATTCCAAAGAATGTGGATAATTGAGGTGACAAATGCCGTTCAATGTAGATAACTGGAAAATAAGTTGGGATCGAGCGAAGGAGAGTATGTGCTAAATGGAACAGCCGTCCAACAAGGCTGATGGGGGGAAAAGAATCCGGGGATCATTATGGACAAATAATTGAAACCACCAGTTTGGTGGATGGCTGCAGTAAAAAAAAAAAAAAAAGGTGAAACAGCAAATAAGTTTAATATTTATAAAGTAACTTTTAATAGTGAGGAGGTGGACTCCAGCAGCAGGGCTGAAGCTGTTTGATTATTTATCATGGGTAGCACATGAGAAACAACCATGAAATGAAGAAAGCCTGTAACACAAGTGAGAGGGGTGAGTGCTGTTGGGTATCTCAGCAGTCTCTTTGCCACCTTAGGCCTATTTTCATGGTTTCTCCTTTGCCCAGCATAATTTCAAGTGATCTCTGTCATCAGGCATCCAGCCCTTCTCCTCAGACTATTCGGCGGGATGATAAATCTCTCAGGAAGCTGTTCTTCACCATCAGCCTGAATTTCATCACATTCCTGTGTGCAGCTCCTTGTTTAGCCATAAAAAAAAAAAAAAAAAAAATTATATATATGCCCACACTCTTTGGTATTTATTTCTTTAAATGTTTGTAAGCTATTATGAGGTCTTTCCATTTACTCATCACTCAGCCCACTGACAAGCTGCGTTGTTTAGCTGTGAAGAGGGAAGATTGAAATCAGCCCCTTTGGCCACTTGAAGCGTCGCTCCTTGCTGGGCTGGAATCTCTCAGCTCGTCCACTCGCCGCTAACGAGAGCGGGCAGAAACGAGCAGAAAGGAGCCTGGTGTTTCAGGAGCAGAGAGGCTGCTCTTGGTGCCATGAGGTTTTTTTGTTGGTTCAGTCTTCCTTGTGCTGCTGTGACTTGGGGAGCCGCAGCCTCCCGTGCTCACCCACCCAGCAAGGTGAGAGGTGACCACAAATGGACTGGTGGTGGTCCACTTGCTTCATCTAGTTCTGTTAGAGCTCTTTTCATCTCCCAAGACAGAGAGGAGTGCCATAAGACTAACATAAATTGAGGAGCACTTTCTATCATTTTCTAATTTTTGTCAGTTAGGTTGACGGTTGGACAAGATGATCTTTAAGGTCCCTTCCAACCTAGAAGATTCTGTGATTCTGTACTCGAGGGAGGTGATTCTCCCCCTCGGTTCTGCTCTGGGGAGATCCCACCTGGAGCTCTGTGTCTGGCTTTGGAGGTCTCAGCTCAGTAGAGACATGGACCTGTTGGAGCAGGGCCAGAGGAGGCCACCATGGAGATGCTGGGAGGGCTGGAGCCCCTCTGCTGGGAGGACAGGCTGAGAGAGTTGGGGGAGCTGAGAGAGTTGGGGGAGCTCAGCCTGGAGAAGAGAAGGCTCCAGGGAGACCTTGGAGCCCCTTCCAGTCCCTCAAGGGGCTCCAGGAGAGATGGGGAGGGACTCTTGATGAGGGAGGGGAGCCCTAGGAGGAGGGGGAAGGGTTTGACCCTGAAAGAGGGGAGATGGAGATGAGATGTGGGGAAGAACTTGTTTGGTGTGAGGGTGGTGAGAGCCTGGCCCAGGTTGCCCCAAGAAGCTGTGGCTGCCCCATCCCTGGAGGGGTTGAAGGTCAGGTTGGAGGGGACTCGGAGCAACCTGGGCTGGTGGGAGATGTCCCTGCCCAGGGCAGGGGGGTTGGAACTGGAAGATATTTAAGGTCCCTTCCAACCCAAACCATTCTATGGTTCTGTACGGCAACCTCCTGCTCGCTGAGCTTTTTGGGGTTGAATATTCTGTCGAATACCTCTATTACATCACCATCTGCTGAAGACTTAATGCCTTTGAACGTGGTACTTTCTGGTTTTATTTACTCCAGGGTGTGCTCCAGTCTCTGTGTGTACAATCCTACCTCAGTGCACGCAGCGGGTCTGTTCAGTTCTTCTCCCTTGTTTTATTTGCGTTCTTAAGTGTGAGTTAACTGGATTTTCCATTAGAAATTATGGATCTGGTCAGGTTTGGGGCCCAGTTGTCTTGTTACCTTCATTCTCAGTAGCTTTAGAGATTAAAAGTGGTACCAGTAAGGCTCCCTGCCCACTTGGCTGTAGGTTTGGAGGTTGGGTTTTGGTTTACTCCTGTTTAACCTACTGAAGGTCTACGCAGAAAGTTTGACTTTCTGGTTGGAGAATTTTCTTGTCGCTGCCGTTGCTCCTCCTGCCTCGTAGCCCTCTTTGTTCTTTCCCTTCTGTCAAGAATGGGGTTTGTGTTATGTATTAGAATTGTAAATTTATGCAAATTATAGTTTGTGTATACAAATCTGTGTATTACGCAGATGAGCTCAGTACTATCCCCTCTTTCAAAAGGGAAAGATTAGATTCAAGAGAAGTTCTTTTCTCTGTTTTTTTTTGAAGCTAATGGCTATCTAAACCCCCCTGATTAGGTCTGCGTTTGGCCGCTTTAGCTCTTTGTTCTGCTGCTTTCCCTTCTAAATCCAACTGGATGAAAGAAGATAGATTTGAATTCTTTGAAATACTCATACCAAATCCAAACTGCCAATACGACGTTCAGGATTGAAGCATAAGAATGGAAGTTGGAGGAAAGAAATAATATTGTTTAAAAGATGTTACATCAGCTGGACTTTGAGAGAGTTTATCCTTGGAAAGGTTGGAAACGGGTCTCTCCAGAGAGTAGGGACAATTTTAATCAGCAGCATCGGGGAGGAAAAAGGGGCCTGGAGTGACATTGTCCAACGCCGTGTCCCCAGGGGAGCAGGGGAAGAAGGTGCCATATGTTGCCTGGCATTTGGAAATCGCCGCTTTACCCATCAATAATCCAAGGGGGGGTAAGTTTTAAATATTCAAAAGGCCAATATGGGAAGCTGCACCCCTGGAGAAGAAGTCAAAGGGCTAATGGTCTGGCTGCTGCTTGTGCTGCTGCCTTCCCACCCTGACCTCCCCTCTCGCAGCAAAGCAGGAGGTGCTGCTCCGCGTCGTCGCCGGAGACAAGGGGAGGTTTGTCCGTAGCCATTGCTGTGATTGAATGACGTTCAGACAGGGCTCCACCTGTGTAACTGCTGCTAAAACTGCCCTTTTTTTCCCCTTTTTTTTTTTTTCAGGCAGACTTAGGGACACTTTGTGGCTTTGAAATGAGGTCCGTAGGGCTGATGCGAAGCGTTGTATGGGCGCTCTTATGTCGGGGCGAGTCTTTTTTTGCCTCGTTCTATATTAGTCTGCTCTTAATGGTACTGAAATTAGCCCAAAATAAGCTCTTCTTACACGAGCGTCAGCACATTGTACCCTGTCGAAAATACAGAGGAGAGGGTATAAGGCACAATCCTCTCCATTTAAATGATTTTTTTTTATTTTTTTTCATTAAAAAGTTATATTGGTATGAGGGTGCCTTAGTCACTGCAGGTTGTTTTGCTTCCAGTGCCAGAATAAACTACACAAGTGTGTCCACAGAGGACAGGAGGTTTTGGCAGCTTCACTTAGACCAACACAGGCAGCATTTCGCGGTGTTGACAAGTGTTTTACAGCCACTTTGGAGGGTGATTTCAGTGGCACCGTAACCTACAAACTCTATGGGTTTCACAGAGCCGCAGCACAAGCACTAAACCTTCTCACAGGGTTGGGTTTTGTTGGTGGTGTGTTTTTTGGGGTTTTTTTGGCTTTTTTTTTTTTTTTTTTTTTCCAGGCAGGGTCAGAGCAAACCGAACAAAGCCAGGATTTACATCTTTGGTACATCCAATTGCCCAACTTGTATCCCATTTCATGCAGCTGTTGCTGTTGAGTAAACCGTGGGCAGCAGCTCGAGGTTGACTCAGGAGTTATCACATGTCAGAGGGCTGCGTTGGCTCGAAGAGGGGAATAAAATAATAGAGATGCAGCCCGATGGCAGTTTGAAACCCTTTGACACGGGGAGAAGGTGCCTGACAAAAACCTCAAGGATGAAGAAAAGCCTAAATTTTCCCCGAGCAAGGATAGTCACTATGGAGTCTTCCATTATTCCCTAAATAATAGCGGAGTTGACATGCTGAAAATACTTTCAGCAGCCCCTGGAGGAGGTGGCAGTTTTTCACTGGGCTGGTTTTCAGCCCTCTTAACTTATGCTCTCTTAAAAAATATTCCCAAATGGATGTGGCCAGCCTGTAGCTTGGTGCTGTGCAGTGGACAGGGTGCTTCACCCCGCTCTTGCTGTGATAAATATTGAGAATATCGAGTTCCCCGCAGCTCTGCGGTGCCGGCTGCCCCCAGCAGTTAACACCTTCGAGCAGATCCGTTGTTTGGGTTTGGGGGTTTTTTTTTGGGGGGTTGGTTTTTTTTTTTGTTTTAAATCTTTGCAGGGCTGCCAGAGCCAGCTCTTTGGAGCAAGGTGAAACACCCGAGTCATGTTATCCCGCTCTGTTTGCATTTCTGCGCCTCCGCTTACTGAAGTAGTTGGGAGGCTGAGTCCTTGTTTGAAGAATGTAATTTATGATTTCGCCTTGGCAGCCAACCCCTGTTTCGCTTGAGCCCTTCTTAACCTCCCAAGGTCACTTGGCTGTTTGCCTGGCACAGTCATAACTCTTCACACTGACCTAATGGGTTGGGACAGCTACGGATCCAGAATTCGTGTTACGACGACGGGATGAACGCGGCGCTGGAGCCAACGCAGCCGGGAGGAGATGCCAAGCAGGCACTCTGGCCTCCCGTCCAGCAGCATCGTTGTTATTCTTAAGCAATAGGTCAGATGAGGAGTTTCTTTACCCGTTCCCTCCCCCCACCACCCCACATTCCTCCCTCTCCCCAACAGTTGAGGACTTTGCGTGGCAGCATTTTCGCACTTGGATTTGGAGAGGATTCCTTAAAGCCATTGGAATTAGTCACAGCGCCCGCTGCGTGGTGCAAGGTGCTGCTCCTTCCCCTCTTGCCCTCCGCTGGTTTTTCTTCACCATCACAGCCCTGTCCCTCTGCCAGCCCCATAGAAGAGTAACCCTGGCTTTTTCATTCCTCTCTAAGCCCTGCCAGCCTCGCTGAGGTCCAGTTGGACATTACTGGTAGAGGCTCCAGGGCTACTTTTGCTCTGTAGAAATTTGTGAAGGTGGCCTTGACGATTTTGGGCAGTTTTGGCATTGAAAGGATTCTACTATCTCCATCCTTGCACCCGGAGGAGAGCAGAGATGATGGCAGATGAGAGAAGTGGCGTAGTTTTTTTGGGGTGGTTTGGGTTTTTTTCACTTCTTTTTTCAGTGAAAGGTTGGGATGTCCCTTAACGATCTTTTAGCAATCCTTTCTATTGCACTTAATTCTTGGATTGAAGGTAGTTTCAAACTAATAGCAGGGATTGTTTGGGATGTGTAGCACCACTCTTAAGCAATGACTGTTTTACCAGTGGGGGAGAGGTAGAGAAACTAAGGTCATCCAGTGTTTTGGGAATATCTTAAGTCTTAAACCCTGCCCCTTTCAATTTCTAAACAAATTACAGTCCCTCTTTTTAATGAGCAAGGGAAATATATGGCTAAAACATGTCGCCTTCTGTGCCTGGCTTTTAAAGTTTCATTGTTCCTCAAGGGTCCGTGCTGGGACAGATACTGGTTAACATTTTTATCAGTGATACAGACAGGGGGATTAAAGGCACCATCAGCAAGTTTGCGGACGACACCAAGCTGTGTGGTGTTGTGGATACACCAGAGGGATGGGATGTCATCCAAAAGGACCTGGACAGGCTGGAGAGGTGGGCCCAGGTGAACCTCATGAGGTTCAACAAGAGCAAGTGCAAGGTTCTGCACCTGGGCCGGAACAATCCTCACCACGGGGAGGTGGGACTAGATGACCTTTGGAGGTCCCTTCTGGCCTGGGCAATTCTATGATTCTATGATTTGGTGGAACCGATTTTTGGTTTAGCAAAAAGCCCAGATGCCCTTCTCCTGTCCTATCCCACCCTCCTTCCTTTGGGAACTGCAGCTCGTAGCAGAGGGTGAGCCATCTGGCTGGAGCTGACCCCTTCAGACAGCTCATCCTGACATGAATTTAACAAATCTGAGTGAAAACTTGGAAACCTCCATCTAAATACAGGTTACAAGCACTTGCTTGGAGTTAGATGAAATGAGGAGACAAAAAGGTAGCTGCAAGGAGGCGTTAGACCCATGTGCTATTGAGATGTTTATCTTCTTAGCAGATGTCCCACCGCCTCCCACACCTGAGGAAGAGAAAGCTCCATCTCCACCCCCTGTACCTGCTCTGAAAACTGAACTGGAGCCTGTGTGCACGGAGGTAAGAGCATATTAGAGTAATTAACTTCTTTTTTTTTTTTAATCCGACTCGATGGGGATTGCCCAACCACTTTTCAAATGCTTTGGGGGAGGTCCTCTTTGCTTGTCATGTCATCAGGTCATCCTGCCTGAAAGAATCCACCATCTTCATTACTTCATTCTCCAGCTTTTTTTTCTGTTTGTTTTTGTTGATGTCGTGCAGTTTTCTGGTTTCTTCTCTCTTTTTCCTCCTAATGGTTCTCTGAATTGTGGCTTGTATTTGACCACTCTTTCCTCTGAACCTTGGCCTGAGGAGTCAGAAATGAAACCAGAGACTCTTGGTGTTCAACCTGAAGCTTCTGCGGGAGGGAGGTGGGCTGCAACTGACAACAAATTAACCTCTGAGCTGAGAAAATACACTTAGTTTTACCGAAAGTGCAGCTTTTTATCACAGGAGGAGTTGTGATGTCTTGCACACCTTGTTGTTTCATCCTTCGGAGATAGGATGGGACAACCCCAGTGCCACCTTCTCACATAATGAAGGACATTTCAAAATGTCACATGCCCCAGAAGAGGAATGTGTCCCCTGTGCTGGCAGATAAAGTTTGCTGTCTCATTTCAGTTGTATTTTGTCTCTCTGAAATTTGTCCTGGTAGGATGAGATTACGATATCCTGGGAAGGGACAGAATTAATTACCAAACCGTGCTCAGCTTCATTAGAGAGACTAGATTTCACTCCTGGGGCTGCTGCTTTTATGACCTTTGTATGTGCACGGGGGCCTTAACTCTCAATTTCTTACAATGTCCTTCAGGTTTCAGCTGGAGGGAGGAAGAGGAAACGGAAGCGTGTGCTGAAATCCAAAATGTTTATTGACGAAGAAGAAGGCTGCATGGGTAAGACACCTTGGTGGAACTAACTTTATTGAAGCTACCTTGAAGGTTTTTACAGGCCAACCTCTCCCAGGCTTCGGAAGAGGTTCACAAAATCACTTTGTAATTAATCCCCCTTCAATCTCATGCTCCTGGACTGAAGTAATTGCCCTTTGGTCAAGGCCTGGGCAAGGAGTCACGGAGCTGTGGCTGTATCCTTATTCTTTTTTGATTATTTACAGATTTTTCTTCTCCCTTCCCTCCTGAGCACCTCCTTCATTTGCTTTCTTCTCCAAAGATACAACTGTTTAGAGATGATGCAGAGAGAGGTTTAGGTTTTGGGATAAATTCTGGCTGGGATGAGTTGCTTGGTTGGTGGTTGGGTTGGTTTTGTTTTCTTCTTTTGGGGTTAAATCCAGAGCTGTGCAGCAGAGCTTGATTAGATGTTAATATAAACTTGAAGGATCCCAAATAAACAAGCAGTAAGTTGGGGATTAAATCCTTGAGAGGGTTTCTGTTTCTGATAAAGATGGCTCTGCTTTCAGGAGGGAATGGAGTCTCTGCAGAAGTACTGAGGGCCAGAGGCTTTGAATTCCAGCCCGACTGGACACCGCTTCCTCCTGTGGCCTGGAGAAAGTTGCCTTAACACCTCTGTGCTCGTTTCCTCCTCTGTGTCCTGACGCTAAAATAGAGCTGCAGGAGTTCAGAATATTGTTCTCTCCCTTGTTTTTTAGGTTTTTTTAAAAGGTTTTAAAAATTTAAGAGGCTGGAAAGTGTTTTTTGTAGCGCTGTTGTCAGCTCAATTATATGGGATGCTTAACGTTCTCCAGCCTTGCTGATTTGAGTGGATGTCAAGGGAGCTCAGCCAGTTCTAGGAGGAGGTCTGTTGCCCTTGCACAGGTTTGTCATTGGGCATAAACGTGGATTTTGGCCCAGATTTGGAGCTGGCTGGACGTGAGTCAGCTTGTGTCTGTTTGCACCTGCCGGTGGAGTTGTATCTTCTGTTTCCCATTAACTTTGTGTGTCTCCTTTAAAGAAACCTAAAGCTAGCACTCAGCAGCTGGCGTTGCTGGTAACTGAAATCTCCAAATACTGGATTCTTGTCAAAGGATTGGACTTGCACAAAGTTATTGACTGCTCTGGCTGGTTGCGTTATGGGGTGTTTTGCTCTCCCATCCCAGATAGAACCATTAAAACACTTGGAAATAAAAATGGAACAAAAAAGCATTAGCTGGGGAGTTGAGTTGAACAAGGGCTGCATCCAGAGCTTGCAGCAACGACTGTTCCGGGTTCAGCTTCCAGCAAAGAGTGCTCTTCTCTTTCTCTTCAGCCCTTTCCAAACATACCAGGGCTGGGAAAATTGCCTTTTTTTTTTGCCAGCAAAGAGTGCTCTTCTCTTTCTCTTCAGCCCTTTCCAAACATACCAGGGCTGGGAAAATTGCCTTTTTTAATTTTTTTTTTCTCTTCTCCCCACCCTCAAGGGGCTTCACAGTCTCTTGTGAAATCCAGACCTTTGGTTTTACAATTCATATCCACTACTGCGTTCTCAAAAGGGAAACACAAGCCCCTGTTGTGCCTCTGGGAGATGGATCCTCTAGGATGGAGGGAGGGATGGAGCAGGGATGCTGAGGAATTGGGGTAGGCAGGAGATGCTGCTCTCTACAAAAAAGCCTCCCTGTCTCTCTTGTGCAGAGCTTGCTGTCTGGTTATTGTCCAGTTTCTCTCCTCCCCACCCTTTCCATGCACAAGCCTAATTATTCGAAGGCTAAAGAACTTGCAAATCTCCCAGGATAATGTAAATTGTTGTTATTCTTTGAAATACAAGGGCTTCCCCCCCGCCCCCCCGCTGTTTGGTTTTTTTTTTTCCCCTTTTTTAAACAAGGACTAGATTATACAGACATCAAACCCTAATGTTAGGATGAGGCTGCGCTGTATATTTCTCCATGATTTTAAAAGTGATCATTTTCACAATAGCTGCAATCGCAAGGAATTGGTGTCAAAAAGCAAAACTAATTTAGGGATTAGCCCTGAGGGAAATTGAGCAATTAAAGTATCTTGTGGAGTTAAGCACGAGGAGGCATCGACTGGGACTCAATCTCTGCCTGCAAAGGGGGATTACTGAGATTTAATCTAGTGTGTTTCTACCTTTTAAAGCTTGACAGGACGCACGTGGACTTGTATATTGGAATATTTGTGTGTGCACTGTAGGTTAATTCATCTTACAGAGCTGGTTTAGAGCTCTCATAATTTGAATTCCTGTGATTTAGCAAGTCTGGCTGCGAGTTGAGCATCGAGTCACTACCTCTGCTTGTAGCTGCTGCAAATACAGATTTTTATATATTTTTTTTAAGTTCAGCTGAGATCTTGGTAGAAGAAGATGGATCTAAGCTGTGTTATCTTGCCATTGGAGAGGATTAAGCGCACGCTCTCGGAGTTATCACTGATTACTGACAGGGGTGATAACACGATAACTTTTTAAAGCTCATTAAGTGGGCCAGTGGTCTGGTAAAAGCTGCTCACTGAAAAACCAGTTGCCTCTGGAGGGAGGTTAAATTGGGTTTAAAGTCTGTGTTTGAGCATCCGTGCTGAGGAGCAGGATTTCCTACCATCCCTCTTCCCGGTCTCTGGTTACGTAGAAAACCTTATTTAATTTGATGCATTAATACAAGTGAAAGCCAGTTTCCCAGAAGAAGGGAAGTTAGGACGTGTGTTTAAAAAGAAGACAGTTGCTAAAGAAAAATGACTTACAAGAAGAATACCAGAGCACTGCTGGGAAAGCTGATATAACAACAGTTACTAGTATCTGACCATGGCTTTCATCAGGGGAGCTGACTCCAGTTTAATTTCCGTGAGCGTTGTTTTATATCCCGGAGCTTTCCATCACCCGACGCTGACGGCAGTGAGCTGGCAAATCCCATTCAAAGTCCTTGATTTCAGTCACGGGTTTGGGTTTATATATATATATAAATCCCATTCAAAGTCCTTGATTTCAGTCATGGGTTTGGTTTTATATATATATTTTTTTAAGGGATTTCTTTATATTTGCCCTGCTTGCCTACCTCTATAGAAAGAAGCTGCCCCCGGGGTTTTGTGCTGCTTCTCTCATTTCTGAGATGCGCTGTGATTGCTTTGCTCTTCCCTGGCTGATGTGCATGGTGCTGGTGGGAGAAGGTTGGGGCTGTCTCTGGATTGTCTTGTCTGGATTTAAGGACAATCCGACTGTTTTGGCCCTTGTGGAAATCAGACCAAGTCAGAATGGTGGGTTTTAACCTTAAAATAGATGCTCTTATCATCAAATGCTACACTATGGGTTCTGATCTTGTTCAGATTCATCACTTTCTGATAGGTGCTGTGCAAGATAAGTTGATGGCCAGTCCCTGGTAGAGAACTTTTAGGTGTGGAAGTTTTTTAGTGCAGTTGACCCTTGTTTCTAGCAGAGGGCAATGCTTGAATAGGCTTGGAGAGGGAAGTTGTCCTCTTGAGGGCCCTTTCCTGGTGGGGAACCTTGGGCTTCTGTTGTTTATGGTGTTTGTATGGCCTGTGAATCATAGAATTGTGGAATGGTTTGGGTGGGAAGGGACCTTAAACACCATCCAGTCTCACCCCCTGCCCTGGGCAGGGACACCTCCCACCAGAGCAGGTTGCTCCAAGCCCCCTCCAACCTGGCCTTGAACCCCTCCAGGGATGGGGCAGCCACAGCTTCTTGGGGCAACCTGGGCCAGGCTCTCACCACCCTCACAGCAAAGTTCTTCCCCACATCTCATCTCCATCTCCCCTCTTTCAGTGTCAACCCCTTCCCCCTCCTCCTAGGGCTCCCCTCCCTCATCAAGAGTCCCTCCCCATCTCTCCTGGAGCCCCTTGAGGGACTGGAAGGGGCTCCAAGGTCTCCCCGGAGCCTTCTCTTCTCCAGGCTGACCCCCCTCAACCTCTCTCAGCCTGTCCTCCCAGCAGAGGGGCTCCAGCCCTCCCAGCATCTCCAGGGCCTCCTCTGGACTCCACACAACCCAGCTGGAGTTTGTGGGCTGTCAGAAAGCACTTGGCATTTCTTTCAAACCTGCTGCCTGACACCTCCCCTCGGTGCTTCTTGGGCTGTCAGAAAGCACTTGGCATTTCTTTCAGACCTGCTGCCTGACACCTTCCCTGGGTGCTCCTTGGCTTCTGAGCTGGGATGGACACGGAGCTCCATGGTTCGTGGTTGTGGGGGGACCACTTCCACACTGGCCAACTGCCTCCAAACTGGCTACTGTGTCTCCTCCAAACCCTGAGCTGCTCTATCATCTCATAGAATGATGGAATTATGGAATGGAATGGTTTGGGTGGAAAGGGACCTTAAAGACCATCCAGTTCCACCACTGCCCTGGGCAGGGACGCCTCCCACCAGAGCAGGTTGCTCCAAGCCCCCTCCAACCTGCCCTTGAACCCCTCCATGGACAGAGAAGCCACAGCTTCTTGGGGCAACCTGGGCCAGGTTCTCACCACCCTCACACCAAACAAGTTCTTCCCCACATCTCAGCTCCATCTCCCCTCTTTCAGGGTCAAACCCTTCCCCCTCCTCCTAGGGCTCCCCTCCCTCATCAAGAGTCCCTCCCCATCTCTCCTGGAGCCCCTTGAGGGACTGGAAGGGGCTCCAAGGGCTCCCCGGAGCCTTCTCTTCTCCAGGCTGAACCCCCCCAACTCTCTCAGCCTGTCAATGAATGGATGTGTGTGGTGACCCTAAGCTGTTTTGAAAGAGCTGGATGACATTAAAGCTCCTGAGTCATTAACCTGCCACCTTTCACTTAAGAGAAAAGGAGGCAGTTTGACTCAGTGTATGAGAAACCAGTCCACTCATCTGGATCTACCACATAACCTTGAGCAATGGACTTAAGTCCTGTGTCTGGCATGTGCTCCTTTGAACCCAAACAGGCTGAACCCCTCAACTCTCTCAGCCTGTCAATGAATAAATGTGTGTGGTGACCCTAAGCTGTTTTGAAAGAGCTGGATGACATTAAAGCTCCTGAGTCATTAACCTGCCACCTTTCACTTAAGAGAAAAGGAGGCAGTTTGACTCAGTGTATGAGAAACCAGTCCACTCATCTGGATCTACCACATAACCTTGAGCAATGGACTTAAGTCCTGTGTCTGGCATGTGCTCCTTTGAACCCAAAAATGCTCATTTCCAGAAATGCAGTGGGAAGGCTGCAGTGGGGAGGTCTCGGGACTCAACCTTCATCATCTCTTCCTCTTTTCTTTTGACCAGTGACCGAGAAGGTTTACGAGAGCGAATCCTGTACAGACAGCGAAGATGACTTCGCCAAGTCCAAGCCACCAGCTGCCCCCAAACAGCCTGCCCTGCCTCTCAAGAGAGAACCCAAGGAGGAGAAGAAGAACCCAAAGAAAGGGGCAGCTACTGCCAACAGAGCCAACAAACAGGTCTCCATCATGGGCTTTTTCCAGAAGAAATGAACTGGGTTGCTCTTTTTTTGCGTGGCTTTCCCAAAGCCGCCGCGTTGGAGGAGAACATCTTCGCAATCTTCCCTTACGTAAGATATCTTGCTTACTGTGTAAGTAAGCCCTCTGGACTAGATTTTTTAGGGGGGAAAAGAAGCGTTTGATGTGTTATTGCAATCATTTCGATCGCCTTAACGAAGCAGTACGGCAACGGCCAAATCTAGAGAAAAAACTCTTGAAAGACTCTTAATCTATTCACAGGAATTTTTTTATTTTTTTATTCAACCTCTAACCTATTCAGTGTTGATGGGCTCTTCCACAAGTGGTAGTTGGACTTATTTAGGAGTCAAGTTGTGGCTTTTTTTTTTTTTTCCCCCCCCCCCTCCCTCTCTTTACACCCCAAACTCTCCAGATTGATCTAAATGATGTTCACCTTGGTTAGAAGCCGAAATGTAGCAGGTCTTCGGGCATCCACACAAAAATACCGAACATCTGCTTCAGCTTTAACTGAATGAAATGAACTTTAATTTTCCCCCTAAGGCTGGTAAATAGTTTTTGCTCTGCCTTTCATAATCTCTTTTTTGGACAAAGCGGCGCATATAAAATTCTCTTGCTCTTTTCCTCCTCGAACGGATCCTCTGTAAACTGCTCGGATGCCTAATTATAGAGCGGGGACGCTGGTGCTGCTCTGTCTTTTTTGCAAAAAAAACAACAAATCTTTGAGGCTTCCCACACAATTGGCTCCGGCTTAATTAGGGGAAGGCTTCGCTGTTATTGGGAAAGCAACTGTGTCTTTAACCTTGAAAGTTAAGGAGTCAAAGGGCAGGGTGATTAGAGGGCAGTTCTGATAACACCAGCCAGGTACCCGCTGTCCCTCCTGCGTGAAGAATTGCACGCTGCTTTTTTGGGGGGGTTTTGTCGTTTTTGGGTTGGCTGAAGTTTGGTGGGGTGTTTTTTTTTTTTTTTTTTTTATGGGTGTATAAACCAGACAAGGGGAGAGTTGTTTTCTAGGACATCTCGTCATCTGCCTCTTTGAGGGAAGCAAACGGTCCTGAGGAACCGGTTATTGGAGATGAATAAAGCACTGCGAGTCCTGTTAATCAGAAATGAGTCTTTCTGTTGGATGCCTCCTGATTTTTTTTTTATTCTGGTGCTAAATTTCATAGATACGTGTAAAAAAAGCCAGATTTTCCAGAGGATGGGTGCTGAGCTTCTCTGAAGCTTGGCCTGGTGAGGGCTCCCAAATGAGTGCCCGATGTCATTGGCGGTTGGTTGAGTGGTGTTAGGTCAATGTATATATGAATATATATGTCCTTATGGGTATAGAAAGTGCTTGTGGTTCCAGAAAGGTAGATAAAGTCTTGAAGAGCATTGAACCAAGGAAGAAATGTCTTCAGGCACCTGGTTGAAAGTATTCTGAGCCTCTTGCACAAGCTGGAAAAGGTTTCATGCTCTCGTTGGAGGGCCTGGTGAGGGCTCCCAAATGAGTGCCCGATGTCATTGGCGGTTGGTTGAGTGGTGTTAGGTCAATGTATATATGAATATATATGTCCTTATGGGTATAGAAAGTGCTTGTGGTTCCAGAAAGGTAGATAAAGTCTTGAAGAGCATTGAACCAAGGAAGAAATGTCTTCAGGCACCTGGTTGAAAGTATTCTGAGCCTCTTGCACAAGCTGGAAAAGGTTTCATGCTCTCGTTGGAGTGACCTGGGCAGCAGAGGGCCGTGGGGGAAGAATGAGCAACCTTGTTCTGACTTTTATGAAGAAAATTTAACTGTAAAAAAAAAAAAAAAAACAACAAACCAACCAAACCATACTGCCGTAGTGTTTCTGTTTCTTTTGGTAGAAGTGGGGGTGTATTTTGAAAAGTAATAAGTAACAAACCCCGTTGAATAAAGGTGTTTGGTTTTTTTCTTCTGTCCTTGCTGTTCCTTAAATGATGGTGCTGCAGCCCCATTTCCAGGGGTTGCTGTGACATTTGAATGTCACTGGTGAAGTGGGTAAAGAGTTCTGCCATCAAACCCAGGGCTGTGAGCATTAAACTACGTGGTTTATAGCCTCCAAAATGTGGGTGAGAACGTCGCAAACTCTCAGGCTCTGTCTTGAATTGACCCCTTGAGTCTTGTTCTCCGTGGTAGATGTTTCTGGGACGTGGTGTCCCCTGGTGTTCCTGCACCTCACCTCCACCGTGGTGGAGCTGGAGCTCGCTGCTCCACCCCGACTCCCTCTATAACCAGCTCAACGTCATACGCCACTTCCTCAGGAAAATGACTTAATGTCTGAAGAAGCAGGACATGGGCGAACTTCAGACCTTCCAAAAATCATGAGCTCATACTCCCCTCCTGCACTTCATGGGCTGCCAACCCCCAGGAGGGCCTCGGGTCCCCTTGGCCAGGCTGGAGCTGTGTCCCCAGGATCGGGGCTGTGTCCCTGAGCTGCTGCTTTAAAGGGAGAAGGTTCCTTCTTGCAGGTGTCACCCCTTTGGTGGCTGGTGGGGGTCGAGATATTTGGGAGGTGGTGGCAGCTCCGAGCCAGGCATGAGGAGCAAATCTCCTGCCTCCTGGTTGGCTCAAGTCTTGGGGTCCTCAGGATCCAAGACCTCATGCTGGAGATAGAGAAAGCTTTTAGGGATTTCTTCTCTTCCTCCTCCATCTCCCTTCCAACCCCACTTACACCCAGAAGAGCCTTTGGGAGAGGATATTAATTTAATATTTTCTGCTAAATAGCACATTTTACAGCGGTTCTTTGCTCAGGATTCCTGAAAATCCTTTTATTTTAAGGCGAAGGGAGCTTCACCCTTATTTTCCAGGTGGATTGGGAAGTGGAAGAAGTTGCACCTTGAGAGGTTCTGGGGCAAAACCATGGCTACACCAGGCTCCTGTCGGCCAAGGTGCCCTGGGAAGGTGAAAAATCCCTCTCCCTTGTTCCAGAGACAGCGGTGCTGATTTACAGCCCTCCTTGCCTGTTTGGGGGGGGGAAAAAAAAAAAACCAAAACAAACTCCATATTTCCCGTTCTGGGGCTGTCTGGCTTTTATCTAGTTAAAGAAAACCAGAAGAGGGATGGGAGGAAGCCCTGCCGGGTGCTAAGGGAGGGCAGGAGGAGGGTGTCCCGGTGGCCTGCTGCGGGGAATTGTTTTTGCTCTCCCAACAGATGATGCCAGCTCGGCCTGGAGATACCGGAGAGGGGAACGAGGAGCAGCAGGGCCTTATAAGGGAGCAGCAGGGCCTTATAAGGAAGCAAAACGCGGCTCGGAGAGACCCAGCGCCGGCGGAGGGTGAGTCGGTGCTTGGCAGGGCCCTACCTCAGGGCCTCGCTGCTTCCCTGCTTCTGGGGTCCACGTCGAAATCCAATGGGGTTAAAAATTTTCCCCCTGTACTCGGCACTGGTGAGACCCCACCTCGAGTACTGTGTCCAGTTTTGGGCCCCCTACCACAAGAGGGACATTGAGGGGCTGGAGCGGGTCCAGAGAAGGGCGACAAAGATGGTGAGGGGTCTGGAGCACAAGTCTTATGAGGAGAGGCTGAGGGAACTGGGGTTGTTCAGTCTGGGGAAGAGGAGGCTGAGGGGAGACCTTCTTGCTCTCTACAACTCCCTGAAAGGAGGGTGTAGAGAGGTGGGGATCGGTCTCTTCTTCCAAGTTACAGATGATAGGACAAGGGGTAATGGCCTCAAGTTGTGCCAGGGGAAGTTCAGGTTGGATATTAGGAACCATTTCTTCACTGAAAGGGTTATCCGGCATTGGAATGGGCTGCCCAAGGAGGTGGTGGAGTCACCATCCCTGGAGGTATTTAAGAAACGTGTAGACATGGTTCTTCAGGGCATGCTCTAGTGCCCAAGATTACTGGTTTGTGGTGGGGTGCTGTGTGGGTGGGTGATGGTTTTTGGTTTGGTGGTTGTTGTTGTGTTTTTAGGTGGTGGTTTGTGGTTTTTGGTTTTTTGGTTTTTTTTTTTTTTTTTTTTTTGTTGGTTGGACTCGATGATCTCTGAGGTCCCTTCCAACCACTATGATTCTGTGATCAGTGGCAGTGGGTCATGGCATCTGCAGCCTTCCAGGCTGAGGTCCCCCGTGGGGAGCTCAAGGGTGGTTCTTGCCCCGTTAATAGCCCCACGGATGCTCCAGGCTGAGGGGGGCAGAGTGGCTGGAGCTGCCCCATGGAAAAGCACTTAGGGGTGTTGGTCAGCTGTGGGCTGAACATGAGCCAGCAGTGTGCCCAGGTGGCCAAGAAGGCCACCAGCATCCTGGCCTGTGTCAGGAACAGTGTGGCCAGCAGGACCACCATCCCTGGAAGTATTTAAGAAACGTGTAGACATGGCTCTTCAGGGCATGCTGTAGTGCCCAAGATTATTGCTTTCTGGTGGGATGTTGTGTGGGTGGGTGATGGGTTTTGGTTTGGTTGTTGTTGTTGTGTGTTTAGGGGGTGGGTGGTGGTGGGGTTTTTTTTGTTTTGGTTTGGTTTTTGGTTTTTTTTTTGTGGTTGGACTCGATGATCTCTGAGGTCCCTTCCAACCACTACAATTCTGTGATTCTGTGACTGGGACAGTGACCATCTCCATGGACTGGGCACTGGGGAGGCCCCACCTCAAGGGCTGGGTCCGGTTTTGGGCCCCTCACCACAAAAAAAAGACCTTGAGGGGTTGGAGTGTTTCCAGAGAAGGGCAACGAAGCTGGTGAGGGGTCTGGAGCACAAGGAGAAGGGTCTGGAGAACTTCTGAGGGAGCTGGGGGTGTTGAGCCTGGAGAAAAGGAGGCTGAGGGGAGACCTTCTGGCTCTCTTCAGCTCCCTGAAAGGAGGGTGTAGCCGGGGGGGGTCTGTCTCTTTTCCCAAGGAACGATGACCAAGAGGAAATGGCCTCAAGTTGCCCCAGGGGAGGTTTAGGATGGAGCTTGGGAACAATTTCTTCCTGGAAAGGGTTGTGAAGCCTTGGCAGAGGCTGCCCAGGGCAGCGGTAGAGTCACCATCCCTGGAGGGATTTCCAAGCTGGGCAGACGTGGTGCTGAGGGACATGGGTCAGTGGTGGGTTTGTCAGTGTTGGGTTGATGGTTGGACCCAATGATCTGAAAGATCCCTTCCAACCTCAACCATTCTGTGATTCTCTCTGTCCCAACCAATCACTGCCCCGTGGCTTCCACTGGGGAAGGATTTTAAACCTCAGTTTGATGCTGCTGCTTTGATCTTGCTTTGGGTTTTTTTCCAAGACCCCAAGAGCTGAAGGGGAAAAAGGTTTGTGGGTGACACCCCCGTGTCTCTTCTGCTCTGCTCTCCTCCTGAAATCAGTCCCTTACCCCTGATGGATGCACCACCTTCACCATTCTGAGGAAACTACTGCTGAATTGGCCAATGGTGGCTCCTTTGAGCCTTGGAAGAAGGTGCTGGAGACACAGGGGCTTGGGGAGCATTTCTGAGGAACCATCACTTCTAGCCCCTTTGGGCTTATAATATTTAAAGACCTCAAACGTCCTTCCCAGCCCCAAGAGCTGCCCATTCACGATCCAGCAGCTCTGCCAGGGTAAAGGCAGGAGGCCAAGAAAGATTCAGGGTTACAACTTGTTTGTGTAAGACACTGATTGTTTCAGGTATTTTGGTGGTTCTTCCAAGAAGGTGGAGATAGTTCTGCTGATCCCACTTGGCTGATGGGCAGGGACTGGGTTGAAGAATGGGGTTAAATGCAAGGCCGTGGGGCTGAAGTCCAAGTGATTTTTGGAGAACACAACCCCATAGGAGACTCTCTTCATCCTTGTCTCAGTTCCAAGTGTCACACTAGGCCACGTTGGCCTGTGATGAGACCCAGTTCCTCACCCATCCCTGGTCTTTGACTATTTTCATGAAAATCCAGCTCTGGGGCCACCAACATCAGAAGGACATGGACCTGTTGGAGTAGGGCCAGAGGAGGCCACCATGGAGATGCTGGGAGGGCTGGAGCCCCTCTGCTGGGAGGACAGGCTGAGAGAGTTGAGGGGTTTAGCCTGGAGAAGAGAAGGCTCCGGGGAGACCTTGGAGCCCCTTCCAGTCCCTCAACTGGGGGGCTCCAGGAGAGATGGGGAGAGACTCTTGATGAGGGAGGGGAGCCCTAGGAGGAGGGGGAAGGGTTTGACCCTGAAAGAGGGGAGATGGAGCTGAGATGTGGGGAAGAACTTGTTTGGTGTGAGGGTGGTGAGAGCCTGGCCCAGGTTGCCCCGAGAAGCTGTGGCTGCCCCATCCCTGGAGGGGTTCAAGGGCAGGTTGGAGGGGGCTTGGAGCAACCTGGTCTGGTGGGAGGTGTCCCATCCAGATAGAACTGGATGGTCTTGAAGCTCCCTATTCTATGATTCTGCCCACATTTAAGTCCCCTGGCTGAGAAGCACCAGAGATGTTGAGTTTCAGCAGAGCTTCTTCCAGGGTTGTCAGTACCATCATTTGATGTTTTCCACCCATGTCCTACCAGGAACTATGCACAGATTGCATGCGTTGATTATTTTTTTTTAAGTAATTTCCCATCTTAAACCAATCTCCTGCTGGGTTCAGAGGAGGGGAAGCTGCCTGGAAGGTGCCTGGAGCATCCCAGAAGGTCCCAGTTTGGAAACCAGAGCAACTGTGGACAACTCACCTGTGGGAACCTTGAGCCTCTCCTCCAATTTTGGAGCTGGATCTCACATCAATGCTGGCCCTCCTTGGAACTTGGATGGGAGACTTTGATGGGTCCTATCCAAAAATGGGAGATACAGAGGCTGGAAATGAAGGTAGCAGCTGTGTGAAATCATGGCAACAATATTTAAGCCCTGAGCTGGTCTTCTTGGAGGTGGGACTCTTCTCTACTGAAATCGCCACTCTTTTGGGTTACAATGGGGCATGTTAGGTGTCTGCAACAGAACATGGTGCCCAGATGGTGCCGAGGGATC